GTCCCTTCCAACCCCTAGGATTCTATGATTCTATGATCCCGGGCTGAGCCGTGGCCGGGACCCGGCGCATCCCCCCCGGTGCCACCCCCCAGACTCACCGGCATATTCCGGGTCGACGTGGGGAGGGTAAAACCCAAACTTGATGAAGATGGGGATGGGGACACCGAACTTGAACCACTCCACCACATAGGGAGGGGGCTGCCCCGTCAGCGGGTGGATCACGTCGCATCCCAGGATCACGCTCTCGCCAGCGCGAGCGGTCACGAACTCGGGCTCCTCCCTCGAGCCAAGGGCACCTGCAAGGGGGCAGAGCAAGAAACTCTGGCTGATCCCACCACCAGACCCTGGCATCACTGATTACCAGACAACCAGGACCCCCAGGAGAACCACAGTGGAGTCCAGGACCCCCAGGAGAACCAGAGCAGAGACCAGGACCCCAAGGAGAACCGCAGTGGAGACCAGGACCCCCAGGAGAACCACAGTGGAGACCAGGACCCCCAGGAGAACCACAGCGGAGACCAGGACCCCCAGGAGAACCACAGCAGAGACCAGGACCCCCAGGAGAATCACAGTGGAGACCAGGACCCCCAGGAGAACAACAGCAGAGACCAGGACCCCCAGGAGAATCACAGTGGAGACCAGGACCATCCCCAGCAGCCCGGTTCCTACAAGGGCAGTGCCTGGGTCTCTCCCCTGCCCTTAAACCAAAGGGGGTTCCCCAAACCCCTCCACCAAGCTCCAGGGCCACCACAGGACTCAAGACAGTGACCATCAAGCACTTCATGCTCTGGGATGGCTTTCCACCCCTTGCACTGGGGCAAGGGTGGTGCCCAGTAACATGTCGGGGTTTTGGGGACCCCCTGCCCTCTCCACAGAGGCCACGGAGCACACCGAGTGCTGCTCCCCACCCAGCAGCACCATCAGGGCTGCCCCATGGGCGGGAAAAGGCTCCTTTGACACCCCCACTTGTGCCCCCACATCCTCCAGCACGCAAGGACCACCAAGCCCCAGCTCCAGTGTGCCAGCTGGGGGATCCAGCTTTCCCACAGGAGCTGTCCCAGGGCGGGTTGAGCCTTTGGAGCAAAGGCTCCAGACAAACCTTCCTGTCCTCAGGCATCCCCAAGAGAGCCCCAAACCAGAAACCCGGCTGCGACCTGCACATCGAGTCTGGCACCCTGCTCCTCCCCTGGGAGGGGAGGGGGGTAATTAAGCAGGGTTTTGGCGTCAGCCTGAAACGAAGGCTGCACCCCGCCGTGCCTCCCTGCTCCCCTGCAGCCTGGTGTCATCCTGCTCCCACCAGCAGAGCTGCATCCTCAGCACAGCCTGCAGAGAGGGAGAGGAGGGAAAACCCAGCGCTGGAGAGGGAGAAGCCAAGGGCAGGGGGGGCAGGGAGGGTGTCCCCCAAAACTGCAGGCACATCGCTCAACCCCACACCATGGAAGTGTGTTGTGTGTCCCCCCCTGTTTTTTTCCCCCTGGCAGATGCAGCCAGTGGGGGCTGCTCGGGGAGGGGTGCTGGGAGAGGGGTGCTGGGGGAGAGATGCTGGGGGAGGGAGGCTGGGGGAGGGATGCT